GGGTGGGACATCCATTGCACACGTTTCTCTTGAGCACCTTATACTGTGCTGGGGACCAAGCTAGGCCTTTGGGGACCTCAGGAGCACTGGGGAGGACATTCTTCTTTTTCATTCGGCATATATGGAGCATCTCTTCTGCACCAACAGAGACAGGTGTTGGGAACATCCTTGCGACCCATCTACCTGCCTGTCTGTGTCCACAGCTGGCCTCCAGGGCCTTGGGGGCGGGGACATCATCTGAGAGATTTTTGGCAATTGCAGGTCTGGCCCACATTGTGGAGCTGATAAAGGGGCACTAACTGTGGGCCCTCCAGGAGCCCACAGTCCAGGCAGTGACAGTCTAATCATTACACACAGGGTGACAAGGCTGTTCTAGGGAGAAGACAAGCTCAGTTTTGAGAAGAACGCTTGGCACACCACAGGTGCCAAGTCAATACTTCACATTCTCCACTCTCGGAAAACCCTCCCTCTGCTCCTCCCAGCCCTGGTCAGAGGTCCTCTCCTCTAGGGAACCTGTCCTTTCTATCCTGTTATAGTGGGCACTGTTGATGCCCCACCCATGCTAGAGGCTGCACCTGTCTCCCACCACCTGGGACTGTTGGCTGCTGACAGCTCCCAGTGGTACCCTTCTCCTGAGAGTGGCCCTCACCGACAGGAGCCTCCCAGAAGGACATCTGAGAAGTGACGCTTTTCCCATGGGATGGTAGAACAACTCTTTAGTATTGTGCTTGTTCCAGAGCTCCTTGTGGGGTCAGGCTGAGGCTAGACATCTCCTGAAACCACATCCTTGTGTGGTTTCTTCTCCGAGCCAATCCTGTTTCCTGTCCTCTCTTACTGGTGTCTCCTGACAGCTTGCTCAGTAAACACCGGCAGTCTCTATCGAAGGCTTTGCCTCTGCAGGGCACCCAATTCAAGACAAAGTTTTTCTGTCATGTGATGTAAGCCACTGCCAAACCTGGGCCCTGAAGTCCTCCCAAACCCCATCCTGTCTCCGTTTCCCTTTCCATTGGCTTGGTGTATGTGAGCGTAAAGTTTTGGGCTGATCCATAAACCCACAGCGTTTGTCGACTGCCATGGAATGCAAATATCACACAACGGTTGACTGGCTGCAGTTCATCACATTTACCAATTCTCAGCTTGACTGACATGGATTATCGTGGATTAAAATGTTTAAACAGTCTTCTTCAAAGCCCGATGGTCTTCCTGAACACGGAGAATCGCTCAGGTCAAAGTGGTCCTCTTTGAAATGACAAAACCATTTTCTTGCTGTGCTTTCCCTGATGGCGTCCTCTCCACACGCGGCACAAATGTTTCAGGCCACCTCCTCTACCTTTACTTCCTGTTAAACTCAAACAGAAGAATATGTCGGAAGTTTTCATTTTTTTTCCACTTGACACTCCATCTTTTTAGCCCACAAATAGCACTGACTTTCTTCAAGTCTGCAAAATGCAAGGCATCACTCCAAATGACAAATGACAAACAATAAACGAACTCTCAACACTGCAGTGTTGCCATGCCAAAAACAAACACTAGCTACAAACTTATGCATCAACCCAATATATGAGCGTGTTGGCTGAATATGTGTTGAATGTACATGAGCTTAAAATATATGAGCCAGCCGGGCTCGGTGGCTCAGCCTGTAATTCCGCGCCTTTGGGAGGCTGAGGTGAGTGGATTGCCTGAGCCCGCGGGTTCGAGACCCGCCTGGGCAGCGAGACCTCATCTCTACAATAAATCAAAAAATCAACTGGGCGTGGTAGCGCGCGCCTGTAATTCCGGCTACTTGGAAGGCTGAGGTGGAAGGATCGCCAGAGCCCAGCAGGTTGAGGCTGCGGTGGTCGGGAGCGGCCACTGCACTCCAGTCTGGGCGACAGAGTGAGACTCCAACTCAAAAAAATGAAATAAAATTAAATAAATAAATAAATAAAATAAAATAAAATAAAAATAAGAGTTTGTGCTTGTGTGGTCGTGTTTAAAAATATATATATATATATGAGCCTACTGTATGTACTGTTTTTTAAAAATTATCTTTTAGTTATTTACTTATTTTTAAATTTTCATTTTAAAGGTGGGTACAATTCAGGATTAAGTATATAAATGGCCATTGTACAGATAAAGTTTAGGCTTCACTTTGATCCCCACTTCGCCTGGTTTGAGATCAGGTACCCTTACTGATGAAGTGTATCTCACCTACTCCCTTGGCAGAGTGAGAACATGTGGCACTCAGTTCTTTGTTTCTGTGATAGATCACTGAGTATTAGTATATGAGCTTAATGTATACAAGTGTGTCGAATGTTTATAAGCTTAATGTGCACAAGCATGTTGGATGTATATGAACACATTGGATATATATGAGCTTAAAGTGTACGAGCCTGTTGAATGTGTATGAGCTTAATGTACACAAGCATGTTGAATGTATATGAGTTTAAAATGTGTGAGTGTGTTGGATTGATATGAACTTAGTGTATACAAGCATGTCAGATGTATATGAGCTTAAACTGTACAAGCGTATTGGATGTATATGAGCTTAAAGTATAAGAGCATGTTGTGGGCCATGATATGGAGAAAGCCTAAGCCTTGATTCACTGCATGGAGGGGTGACTTCAGATTTTAAAAGAGTGAGAAATAAACTTCTATAATATTTGGCCTATTATACATCTGGGGATCTATTTGATTTAGCAGTTAGCATTACTGTAACTAATACATTTGGGGTTAAGTCATTTGTGACCCTCTAAGCCCTGATTGATGTGAAAAGAATGTAAGCTTTGTTGTTAGACCAAGTTCAGGTTCCAGCTCTTCCATGTACACCATGTGACCTTGTAAAAGTCATCCCATTCCTCTGAGACTCAGTTTCCCTGTCTCTAAAGAAAAAAGCTTAAGTCCTTCCTTTAAGGGTCATTATAGGCATTAAATGAGATAATGCTTAGCTGTGGTGCTGAACCTGGCACAAACTAGGTGCTTGCTAAATGCTAGTTCCTTTCTTCTAAAGGTTTGTGATGCCACCTCCCCAGGTTTTAAGGTATGCTCCCACACT